GCATATAATTCATGACGCAAAAGCACACTAAAATGCATATAATTCACCACGATAAAGCACGTAAATTAAGCACTTATTAGCACTAATGGATAGACTTCAATCATGCAGAATTAGAACAGAATTTTCAGCACGTTTTTATTTATTTATTTTTTGCGCTAATGGAATAAAGATGTCAATTTCTGCTGGGTCTCCTTTTTTTTTTTTTTTTTGGTCTCATCTCATTGATTATACACCTAATTCATATTGAAAACTTCAGAAATATTCTACTTAAAATTCTTCAATAGTTAAGATCTGGGATGCCTCCGATTTCCAGTCACACCATTATACAGTATATGAAACAACAAATCATATCATAACAGTACTAATTGTGTGGATCCTCAAGTGATGGTTACTCTATAATTTTCTTGAACTCTGGAGGCGTTTGCTTCAGAACTTAAACGGTTTCCTCCATCTTTGTCCGTTTGCAAACTCAACACTAATGTATGTTCAAAGGGTCATCCTGGTTTTCGTTGGGCAGGTGGCATTTTGCGTGATAGCCAGGGGCATTTTTTGATGGCCCTTTCATATCATTTGGCTGAGTCATAATTAGGCATTGCTATTTGGAGTGAAGGCTTGTGTTTCTAGGGTTTCTAATGTCTATATTTGGAGTCTGATTCTTTGGTTTAGTGAATATTTTTAATGGTTTGGATTTAGTGAATATCCTTAATGGTTTGTATACTTGTCTGTAGAATCTAGAACGAGATTTGTTTGATCTTAGGCAATTTCAGCGCTATTTTATCGAATTACCCATTGTTATAGAGCAGCTAATCGCCTTGTTGAACGGCTGTCTAATGTTGCTGCTCTTTCTAATGGGGATTCCATTTATACTTCGTTTGCTAATTTGCCTAGTCTAGTTCGTGGTGATTTAAAGCTCGATAGGATAGGATTTCCATCTTTTCATAGAAGTTAATGTCTTGTAATTAGTTTTAACAGCATGGATATAAGGGAGTAGTACTCCACTACTCCTTTACATTTGCTGCCTTTTATATGAGGTTAGGTTTGGCCCCTTTCCTCCTCAAACTCTATGCTTTATTTAGAGCTTTCTATTTGTTAACAAAATAAAAGGCTGGCATTCCTCCCCATATACGAGATTTGCCATTAAAAAAAAAAAACTTGATCCACCTTATAAAATATACTAGTTTGATAACAATAAAATTCTTTCGCAAATCTCTTAAGCATGATGTAAATTACACTTGAGCTCAATTTGAGCTTGATACTTGGATCATTTACACTCTTAAAACAATCTTTCTGTGATCATCTACGCAAATAGATCCTTGAGTTCTTTATCAAAAACAAGATGTATCTTCCTTGTCTAGTTCGAAAGAAGCATTAACAAAAGGATTGTAGCCACACTAAGAAAAGTGCTTTCATTTCTTTGTATTAATGTATCCTTGTGAAATAGAAATAGGGAGGACTAACTAAGAGCTAAATTGGAATTAAGAAGACAGATAAATGTTGAAATATGCAGTGGGATTAAAAATACTTGGTCTAATTATATTAGTTACACAAGTAATTTTATTAACATTCTAATAAATATGGACGTATTTGATCAAGCATTCATACCGTTTTCTTGAACAAGTTTACTTGCTTTCTTAATATGATTACACATTATCTATAAAGGTATGATCAATACACTCGAATCGAACCTAAACAACATTGTTCTATTACGGGTATTCATATTTTGGAAAAAATCGAAAAATTGGCCAATCCAAACTAGATTGGATTTATCGAATTCGGAAAAACCAAGATATAAACTTTGATAAAATGGTTTGGAAATAGATATTAAAAATACAATACTGAGTTACCGATTATCAGCTGAATTATAAAAATTTTTCTAAATATAATTCTATATATATATATACACACACGTACTAAATATAAGAGCAAAACTTTATCCTATTACTAATACTAATTAGTGATTACTAATTAGCTAACTTAACTATAACTCTATTTTGAAGTCAAATTTGATCAAAATTGACATGTTGGAGTTTAGCTTCACAATTAAATTTAAAGTTCTTGTTTAATTCAATGTTATTTAAGAATTAAGATTATGAGTTAGGAATTAGGATTATGAGCCCCTTTATTTCCATATCATGTTTGTTTGAGTTCAGTTGATCGAATTTTGTTGAAAAAATATAAAAGATATTATTTTGTTAAAATAATTTTTTAGAGAAAATTAAAATATTTTTACTCACTATTGACATTTCGGATTTTGGATATTACCGAATTACTAGTTCTTTGATCCAATTTACCAAACTAAAGTTTGAATGGTAATCAGATATTGGTCTTAAAAAATTGACTCCTGATTCAGCAAAATTTTTTTCACTAAATTTCCAATTACCAGTCGATGAACGCCCCTAGTTGCTAATAATTCACAAATAATGGGATAAATACTAGGATTTAGTTAAATAAATTGACAATTATAAAGACATGAACGGAAGACATCTAATTCTTGGAGCTCAATCTATATTATTATAATATTAAACCTAGGCATTATTGACAAATGGTAATATTCAGTTACGTATCAAGTTTTCTAATGAAGTATCTCACCCGAAGTGCCAAGGACAACCCAATATGTAAACTAAGCTAGTTTACTAAGGGCGGAGACACATTGTTAGCTTAGTTTACAAAGTAATAGCTTAGTTTACAAACTTGATACGCAACTGAATATTAGTTTTCTAAACCAAGCTAGTATTTTGTTTTTTAATCTAATGTTTATAAATAGATGAAATATAATTGATAATTCATCAAAAGGTTGATTTTCTTGTGAAGGACAACCCAACTTTGAAGAAAAATATAAGTATCAAATCTGGTTAGGTAATTGAGAAAAAGTTGAGTAGTTGAAAAATGATTGCATTATTTGACTTATGACTTATTACAAGCAAAGCAAAGGAAAAATAGGAGAACCAAGCAATCTGTAAACTGGCTTGTTGAATAACCTAATAATGCAATAAGCTTGAAAAAACATTTTTCTCTCCAAGTTAGAACTTATAATAAATAATATTTATTGAATAATTTAATAATCTGACAACATAAAAAATAAAAAAATGCAAATCTAACAGGTACCATGAAAGCAACAACAAAGAGCATTTTAATGAAATACAACAGAGATACACATATTTTTGTCATTTAGACGTTAATGCATTCGTTTGAATAAGAAAGGAAAAAATTATTTGTAATAAAAAATGCATATTAAGGTATAAATGAATTAAAATAGAATTGATAACAAACATATATGAACATAAAGTCAAACACTACCAAATATTTTAATATGAACAAAATTAAAATAAATTTGAAACAGAAAAATGCACACTACATTAAGCAGCGGTAATAATCTTTTTCTTTACAATAAGATGAAATTAGTTTTAAATAATCTTTTTCGTTACATTAACAAAATAACAAAATGTCAAAGAATATAACAATTTGAAAAAATCCATGCAATTCGACGAATTTTAACAAATGCAACTTAATTTGTCAAATATAACTTTAAATGATAATTCATATTGAAATAAATATAAATATAAATATAAATAATAATGATGATAATAATGTAAACAAAGTGCAACATCTGTGACGCGTCACAACTAGAAAAGATGTACCTTGACCTCTGGAGCAAAACACTCCAGTACGTCTGCTAATGGTTACATCAAGACAAGGAATAAACTATGACTTAAGACTTTTTTTTTTCTTTCAAAAGTCATTCATTTATGTTATCAATATCTTTGATACATACAAAGACATGTACATACTAGCTGGCAACTGCCACATAATCACTTTGTGCAGTCATAGAGGTCCACACAGAAAGCTATTCTTCTACCTAGTTTCATTAATAAGATTAGTGACAAATTTCGCCAAATCATGACTACATGTGTTGATTTCTCGCTTAACAAAGGAGAAAGTACAACAAACCGTGACTCAAGGACCTTATTTTCTGCCGACACTAACTTGCTTTAGTTGATTGAGATGTAAATAGTACGAGTAATTCCAGAAATCATGGTATGAGTATCTATTTTTGGGACAAGGGGCACGGATGGTTGCACCTGCAATTATCCCCAACAGTTTTTGTCATTTTCAACAGCGCGTAACTTTGGTTACACACAGCGTAACTTTGTTTGCACAACATGTAATTTTAGTACAAAATTTTGCGGGTCCTACACACGGTGTGAAAATCGATGCACAACTTGTTATGTGAACCGCACAAAATTTTTTGGCCAAATCATGGCCATTAACTGCTCAGGAACGGTCAAACTGATGACCGTCCCTGCCCCATTTCCCTATTTTTGGGACGTTGATGATGATAAGAGACTGTATGACAATTACTAACATACTAGTACGGAGGCTTCAGGCTCTGGATTTTGCGACAATGATGACAATAACAGACTATCGATTGTGATATATTGATTTAGCACTACAAGGAGTACAAGAAGAAAAAGACCATTGAGGCCAGTTGGACTTTTGTGAAGGAGCAACATGTTTGCCATTTGGCTCATTGGAGCTTATTGAGGTTTGAGGCAAAGATGGGGCAAGATTGTTAAGTTTGTGATTTTTATTTATTGGGATCCGACAACACTTCTGTGCATTTTGACCTATGGAAATTTGTTTAAACTTTTATAATTTTGGCTCATTGGGACTTTTGTGAATTTGGCCCAGGGCCTTCTAATTTTGGCCTGTTGGAACTCATTGGGCCATTTGTGATCTTGGTTCGTTGGGTTTATTGGAACTTTTGAAGAAAAGGTAAAGCAAGTATACTATTTGTCAACATTGGATATATATTAAAAGTGAAGATTTGTTGAGTTTGTATTTGTATTATATTGAAAGTTTTACAAAGAAATCTCACCTTTTTATGGTTATTAATATATTGGGTTTTTTTTTCATCAAACCGAAGCTTTATTTATTTGGCAGAAAGACTTCGAGAAGAGGATACAAAGCGAGGGGGATGACCCCCCACCAAGAAACTATGACTACCGAGGGCGGCGAAACCGCACATGAGGGACTTGAAGCCTATCCAGCTGGAGGGCAGCGCGGGCCCTAGGAGGCAGAGATGCCTCAGAGGCGAGAACTGCATTTGAGGGAAGTTTAGATGACGCCAGTGCATCCGCTACTGAGTTCGCTTCCCGAAAAATGTGGGCTATAGAGGCATCCAAGGCTGCTACCATTGCTTTGATCTGGCGAATAGAGTTACAAAGAGGCCAACGTGAGGGGGCATCTGACGAGACCAAGCTAACCAGCACCCTGGAGTCCACCTCTATCTGGCAAGTCTGGTGATTCCCTTGCCGACAAAGCATCAACCCTTCCAATAGTGTCAGAGCCTCCGCCATAAGCACATCCTGATCCCCAAACTCCTTGTAGAATGCAAATACGAGATCCCCCTCTACTGATCGAAGAATCCCTCCGCCAATGGCTCCTGAAGACGAGACACTTGCGTTCGTATTCAACTTGCATCTGCCTTGTGGAGGCTTAACCTACGTGACCACCCGTGGTCGGGAAAGCCTCTTGCTGCTCCCCGGGACCCTCTTTGCCTATATACAATCCGTATCGCCTTTGAACGACTATGGTTGCAAGAGTCGACCCATACACATCTGCTCCATGAAGCTGCAGACTTGAGAGATGACGTGGCCCGACGATAGAGGCAAACCCTCAAATCATGCATGATTCCTAGCCTTCCAGAGGAACCACAAAACCAGGAGAGGGATAATAACACACACATGGTTTCGCATGACCGAGCAGTGAGAGAAGAACTAGGAAGCCAGCTTAGCAGATTCCCCACCTGCCGGTCCCGGATGCCAAACAAGCTATCGAAATACTGCCACACCGCCGATGCGACCGGCCCCAGAACAAATAGATGGTTGCGTGTTTCCACCGCATTCCCACAGCAACAGTACCTGGAGGCAAGCACCACCACCTTACGTTGGAGGGCATGGTCCAGAGGCACCCACTTGTGTAGCAGACGCCATGTAAAGAACGAGACCTTGAGTGGGACCACCGAGCTCCAGACCAGGGAGTGGACCATCGATAGGTTCCTTTTACATCGAACCTGCTCCCACGCAGATGCCACCGTGAACGTACCGGAGGACGATGCCCCCATACCTTCGTGTCTTTAACCCCAGGAAAGATCCGAAGTTACACAATGTGGCTAGGCAAAAGTTACCGAAAGCGATGCTCATCCCAACCATATGAGCGATATAGCTCTCCCACCCGCATATGTGGGCGGGTTGGTCTTGGCACCAGGGTAGCCCGAGAGACATCCATGCACCACCTATCATGTCAGAAGTCGACGAGACCCTTCCCTAGAGACCACCGAATACACTTCTCAACCCGATCTCTGACTCGATCCAAGCAACGCCACACGGCAGATGGATGGTCAACTTCTACCAGAAGAGGATGGTTACCTTTGATATAGTTATTATGCATAAATCTCGCCCAGATTGACCTGTTCTCCCTCAGACAACACCATAACTTGCACGAGAGAGCATCCACCACCGTATTAAACGAGCGAAAACCCTGTCCCGTTTCACCCTTTGGAAAGCAGACCTTCTTCCAAGTCACCCAATGGATCCTCTTGGAGTCTACAGAGTTATTACAGATTTTATTCAGAGCTACAATAACCGCCCTTGGAGGGGAGAGGACCTGTAGGCAATAGATGGGAAGGGAGCACAGAATGTGACGTACTAGGACTATTTTGCCGCCCATTGAAAGCAACCTCGAACTCCAATGATAAAGCTGGTGTCGCATTTTAGCCAGGAGGCCATCAAACATAGCGCAAGCGACCCTGCCCCTGAACATAGGCACCCCAGGTATGTGAAGGGTAATTTTTGTTCCCTGAATCCAAGAATTGAAGTAACCAAACTGTAGTGAGCTTCTGTCATCCTCAGTGAAGGAGAAAATGAGCTCTTGACGACATTCACCCGTTGGCCAGAACAAGCTTGGTAGCGTTGCAGCAGACATTTGATCGAGGTCAGAGCGTCCATTGAGCAGCTGGTGAAGATAATTGTGTCATCTGCAAATGCGAGGTACGGGATCTGAAGGCCAGCCGATACATAATACCGACTGATGGAAGCATCACAAAGTTGTTGAAGCCCCCTCCCAAGAAACTCGGCGACAAACAGAAATAACGCCGGGGAAAGGGGGTCACCTTGCCTGACCCCTTGAGTAGATTTAAAGAAGCCTACGGGTTCCCCATTGATTAGGACCAAGAACCAAGATTGGAGAACGTGCAGAATAACAAGTCTACCACTTGCTTCTCAAACCCAAATCGACGAAGCATGAATAATAAGAAGGACCAGTCCACTCTGTCATACACTTTCTCCAAGTCCAATTTTAGAACCAGATTTGGGTCGACCAGCTGCCTGTCTAGATCATGGATAAGCTCTTGTGCCAGTAAAATGTTATCCGAGATCTCTCACCTCGAAGTAAAACCAGAATGCTAAGGCGAAATCAAGTCCGGGAGAAGCCTAGCAAGAATCTTCGATATGATTTTCGAGCTAACATTGCACAGGCTAATCGGCCGAAAGTCTCGCCAGTGCGAGGCCCCCTCTACTTTGGGGATGAGCACGAGGAGTGAGCTAGTCCAGCCTTGCGGTTGCTGCATACCTCTAAAGAAATCCAGAATCGCCGCCATCAGATCATCTTTTATAATGCTCCAGCACCTCTGATAAAAGCCTGCCCTAAAACCATCCGGGCCTGGGGTACTATCACAATTCTGGGAAAACACTACCGAGTGAAGCTCTTCCATTGTCGGGAGGGCCATCATCATTGCGTTGTCGGCCGCCCCCACGATGGGGACAGGAAAGGGCAACTCCTCACAGGGCTCCCGACGTTCAGTAGAGGAGAAGAGACCTAAGAAAAACGTAGTTGCGGAGGCTTTGACATCCTGGAGAGACTCACACCAGCCACCCCATCCATCCTGGTCCGTGAATGAAGTTCACATTGCGACGTTGCCGGACCAGGGAGTGAAAAAATGCAGTATTAGCATCTCCCTCTTGGAGCCACCTGACCCCCGCCTTCTGACGCCAAAATGCACACTCCTGTGCTAGCGCCTTGTTGAAGAGTGCTCTGGCCTCATGCAGAAGAGTCCTTGACACCTCGTCTCGCCGATGGTCGTAATCCCTCTCCCGCTGTGCAACACCTGTTCTGCCTGCTGTACATTAGATGTGACATTACCAAAAACCTCCCGGTTCCACCCCCTCAGTGCCTGCCGCACCGTAATCAGCTTCTTGAAGAACTTGGTCATACCAACCCCCTAGGCTTGTGTTCCCCATGCCATAGCCACAACCTCGCGAAACTGGGGGTGGTGACGCCAAATGTTCAAGAATCGGAAGCAAGAGGACGTGGGCCGGTGAGCCGAGCACTTTATGAGTAGTGGGGCGTGATCTGATCCCCCCTTGCTAAGTGAGACACGCGAGAAGTAGGATAAGTCTCTACCCAGTGCCCGTTCGCAAGTGCCCTATCGAGCCGTTGCCAAATCCTGCCATTAGTCCATGTGAACCTGGAACTGTCCAAAGGTAAAACGGAGAGACCGCATGTGAACATAGATGAATTGAATTCCTCTATGTTGCGGGCATTGGCAGGGGCTCCCCCTTCCCGTTCATCATTCGAAACAATGACATTGATCTCTCCCACCGCAATCCAAGGGTCACGCACCCCCGAGGCCAGGCCCTTCATCGCCTCATATAGGGATCGCCTCCCGAGCCTGGTGCACTTCGTGTACACCCCAAACAGCTAGAAAGACGCTCCACAGAGAAAAGAGACCTGAGCGTGGACCAATTGGTCAGCATACTCAATACCAGATACCCGGAGCATATTTGACCAAAAAAACCAAATCTTCCCATCAATAAAGCTAGAGGACTTGTCAATCCGAAGCCGGCGGCGCACTACCTCCCACTACGCTTCAGAAGACATGGGTTCTAAAAGAATAAGTAGGTGGATGCCATTGTCATGGCAAAGTTTCCCTAAGTAACGTAAAGAGTCGGCACGAAAAGCACCCCTAATGTTCCACACTAACAAGCTAATCGGATCTAACATGAGATCGTAACGGATAAGAAGTTAGAGTGAGAATTGGCTGACCAGCACATTCCCCCTTTCGAGGTCTACCGTGCCGCCGTTTGACGTCTGGTCGCGTTCCCCCGACATCCAATAAAGTCTCCAGCACTAAATCGGCATCGTCAGAGCCACCCCTTTGGGGTGCCTCCCACTCCGCTGGAGAAGCTTGCCGTAGCCCCACAAGCTCCACGTGGAAGTCCTTCAACTCCACCGCCAACACCGCAGGCTGTCAGAGGCTGTCTACCGACCTCCTTCGCAGGAGAGGGCTCAGCCGCACGGCCTTGGGAGAAGAAGGAGCCGAGCCCCCGCTTGGAACGATGCATCATCCTCCTCACCGTCCAAGGCATCCAAAGGCCTGAAGGCATTTTCGGTCTCCACTTGGGCCAGCTCGCCGTCTCCCTCCTCACACAGACACCCAGGTTCCAGCATTGGAACTTGCGTTTTAGTCCCCAAAGACCCCAGTACCTCCTCTGTCACCATTGCCGTGGGAGCTGTAACACAAGGGACCCCCCTAGGGTACCTGCACTGGCAACCTCTGTGCCTGCCGCCACATGAGTAGATCGCTGACCCATGTCCGCCCGAGCCTCCTGGGTTTGTGTATGGGTTGCCATCGCAACCAGAACTGACTCCGTTCTAGCCCCTATTGACAGATGCCGAACCTGTACAATAATAAATACCTACTCGAGAAAAATACAGATTTTGTATATAGCGGTGAGTAAGGTCGAATCCACAGGGACTGGGGATAATCCGTTTCTTTTAGAGTCCAAAGTATAGGGGGTTTTGGATTGAATTCTAACTAAATAAATTAACTGCAGAAAATAATTGATTAAGAGAAATAATTAAGAGAAAACTCTAGCCAAGAATACACTTCAGAAATAGTTCATGCACTGATCATTGATGCAGAAATAATTCCAACATTTAGTAATAAATTAGTTATAGTTGTCATGTACGCGATAAACAACCAATTCTTCCTTAATTTCTCGATAGCTAAGGTACGACCGTTAGCTATTTCTCTAACCCAAAAATAACCCTAGGTACGACCGTAGGATTTAATTTCTAGACTGCATTAATAATTAGAAAGGCTCAATCCTAACCAACAAACACACTAGAGGGTTTGTTTAAACTAGATCATATGCTCCCCTGACATAAACCCAATTACGCCAGTTGCTATTGAGGTAGAGATAACGAACAATTACGGATTCAATTACCCCTATTTAGCAAAAATAGTCTATATGAATAATTAATTATTGCACACTAATCAATCATACACAAGGCCATAGCAATTAAAATCAAGGAACATATAAATACCAATAAATGAAGAAAATAATTAAAACAAATTCGATCTCACAGTAATTGTCGAACCAAATCGTCAGTTGTCCCCTTGACTAGAAAAACGTAGCCACGTCTCATGAGAAAATCTCCACGTAATTTAATTGAGGTCCAAGCCATCAAAGGAACCAAGAAAGAATAAAACTAAACTATGCTAAAAGCTGTCCCCCGAAGAAACGGAAAAAGGGCAAAATAAATAAACGAAAGAGTTGGACCAAACCAAAAGAACGAAGTTCCTTATTCTAAAACAATTGCCTAACTTTTCTCCGTGGTCCCCACAAATTAGTAACAAGGTTGCCGAATTACTCCTTGTTTTCAGCCTCTGTACGTTTCTTTCTTCTTAAAAGCCCAACATGACTAATGCTTCATACTCCGTGGTCCCCGCCGAATTGAGTGAAAGGTTACCAGAAGTCAAACTCTGCCCAATTCCCTTATTGTTTCCTATTGACCTTCGTACTCCAATCTCCTAATCAGCAAAGGACATATAATCCCTTTGTAGCACCATGTGGGCCTGGTTGTTTGAAGTCTCCATTGTCTCCCGAAAGCCCCTCCTATTTTGTACTTTTCTGTTCCACTCCTTGAAATTGAGTCCAATACCAAATATAAGTAAATATTAATAATTAAAACAATATTTGGTAAGAATAAAGGGGGAAATTAACAATAAAATAACCAACAATTAACACCCTATCAATTCCCCCCACACTTAAATCATGCTTG